TATACAAGTCTTAATGACAAACTCTAGTTGTGCTCTCTCCATAAAAGTTTAGTAACATGTAAACATTTGTTATAAAAATACCAACTACTTTCTATCGTCTTATAGTATTATATTTCTTTGGAATTCATTCTTTATTCTGACTATGTAAAGATTTCACATAAACATGTTCAAGAAAATCATTAAGTTGATCTAGTTTCAAGTTACTTTTTGTTCCTTTGTTTGGTAAGTACTACCTATTACCATTCAAGGATATCATTGCTTAATATGAAGTTGTGTAAGAATGTCTACAGCAGTGTCTTTCAATTAATGTTCAGGTGATATCTACAAATTGTAATGAGACTGACCAATCACAAAAGTAGGGCAAATACTAGGTTTCTTTTAAATAATGAAACCTTGGATTTGGGAGTCTGGTTTGGAACACCACTAAAGCTAGTCTAGTAGAACTTGGTTGTCAGTAGTCAGTCCAATTATCCAGTGAAAGTGACATTTGGATGAAGTAAACACCAAATGTACACAGTGTTTGTGTTTAGTGTATAATATTGTTCATTTTGTGTGTCGGGAACTACTTTTCAGTAGTATATATAGTAATGTAAATTTTTTGGGTGTGTCGGGCTAAAAATTTTCCTACAGTAGGTGTCTGTGACTTGTTCGCGATAAATTCGACAATAAACGAACAGCATGCCCTCCATTTGTTTTTAAAATAACATATATATATTTGAAACAAGTTAAACATAAGTACAAACTTGTTTACATTATGGCAATCATAGTTGTATCTTAAACACTATACAGTTCTCTTCTTGTCAAAAGTCCACTTAGGCCAATTCAATTGCTTTAGAATTCAGTTGACAAGCCAAACTATTTTTCTCTATTTTTATTGCAATAGTATCCATGTAATTCACTTACACTGTCATGTAAGTTACTGCAGTTGTATCCTGAACTTCCAATAACTGTCTGCTCTTTGTACTTCCAATAATCATCTGCCTTTTATCAACGTCCACACAGGTGGGTTCAATTAGCTTAGAACACACTTTGACAAGACAAATTATTCTCCTTAACTCTTTCAAATTGTTAATCTCACTCTAACATATCAACCGTTAAGCCATTCACTCCCAGCTTGATTAACTTTGAATTTTTAACTTTTCTCTGATGGAACTTCTCTTTCACATTACTTTAATTTTACTCCATTTCTGCTTGTCTGGTCGCAGCTATTATATGTCTATCACTTAGGCCTTCTAGAAATTTCCATAGCCCCAACATCAGTGAATTACAAACACAAAATAAACAAATTAATAATACTACCTACACTATGCAGTCTTTTATATCTGACAGTCACGTTTTGTCCAGTCTCATTATTTCCTTTAACATTTACTCAGATAATTAGTATTAGTACTGCTCTGTAACTGATATTGAGTGAATCTCCTGCTATTTATCAGACCTATCTGATAAATCAAATAAATATTCAATTCAACTAAAAATACCACAAAATCAAAACTGTTCATAATTTTAACTTATTTACAAAGTAATATACATGGCTGCCAGTCACTTAAAAGATTTTAAATGATTTACTATATACACAGTAATAATGGTGAATTAATCTAATAGCTTCTGGAAGGCAAGTTGCATGAAAGTTTTGTCTTTATTTGCTCTCCAGAGCTTTTAGGCATGAAGAAAGTCATAGCCTTTAACACTGAATCCATTCAAGTAGATGTTCATCAAAAATGTATCATATTTCATAGTTTTAGTATCATTTTAAACACTAAACCCTCATTTACATGTTGCAGTTTGAAGTGGAAAGGTTAAAACAAACTGCACAAGCTTCAACAATCTTTTGGAGAGAAGACTGTGATAAGCAACAAGTATTTTACATGGAATATACAAACTTCCCTTTGGGTTTTTTCCTTGACTATCTTCCATTCATTCATTGCTGATCCATTGTCAATAATGAGCTGGGACTGAGTATCACCAACTGATTCAACTGTGTCATGGTAGTCTGGAATCATTTGCATCTTCTCATTATCGTAATTGATCAAGTCAGCTTCAGAAAATAATGCCATTTCTCTCATTGCTATGTGAGGAATTTTGTTTAAAGATTAGCTTTCAATTTCTAACCAAATTCTTTACAAGCATTCTCAAGCTGAGACTTCTGTTCTTGATTTGCTGCTTTTTCAACATCTTTGAACATTTAGTTTCTGTCAACTATGATAATAATATTTCGAAGGTCTGAAGACATCCCCGATTCAGATAAAAAATCAAATTTAAACATCATAAGTTTAATACTTGGCCCTATAAATTACCTAGATCAAAATCTTCTCTTTGAAATTTCATGTTGAGAGCTGTTATCACTTACTGTGAAATCCATATGGAAATGTATCATGTCCATAAACATGTGCTGATTTATTCCCTCCTGCAAGCATTTGGTCTTGGCATCATTAGCAAAAGTAGCCACTGAAATTAAATGTCTGTACAAGAGCTTTCCAGTACACATATACAGACATCAAAGCATAAAAAACACACCATCAAACAACATGAACCTTTAGCTAAGGAGTATCTAAAATATCTTGTACTTGTCAAAGTTAGTCAGTTCTCAGAAGTAATAGTACAAAGAAGCTAAGGTTTCTCTGTATTTTTACTTTACAGGAGCCTTTTCAACAGTCTGCTGAGAACAAAGAAGCTGTTTGTGAGCTGTACAATAAAACTGAACAACAAATGGGTTTTCCCATTTAAGCTGTGCTCCAACACCATTTTGCTTTTACATCATCACAGAGGCACCATCAGCACCAAAAGACATCACTTTTGAAATATCTATTACATTAGAATTAAATCACTCCTTCAGTTTTTGGTTGATACCATTTGCATTTTTATTTTAGATGTCAAAATGACCTAAGGAATAACTGAGTCAAGAGAGTTTATTTCAGTTATTACAAACAAGTGACAGAAATATCTGTTGTCTTATTGCAAGACAAAAGAAAGAAAATTGTTTTCTGAGCATTTTTTGACAACTTCATTATCAATTGATTCACCTAAGGCAGATGGTATGTGGCATGAGAAGTAACACTGAGGGCTTTCAAATCACAATCAATAAGTTCCATAAGATGTAACTAATACTCAAAGTAGTACTTCCTCCTTCACTAGGTAGTACACAAAATGTATAGCTTTTGTAAGTTTCTTCATTGTCACTAGGTACACAACTGATGGCAGTAATGAAATGCATAATTCATTTTCAGTGCATGCTATGCACATTTATGTCCAGTTGAAGTTTTGTGACATGTCAAAGTTGCCATGTTCATGATAAAACAACTCTGTTTTGTGACAAAAGGATTAGACAGTTGTAATTCAGAGTAAGCACCCCTACATTACATATTTTCCATCCATGTAAATTTTTTCTTAAATTGTTTTTGTCAGGATGTTTTCTTAGCTGGTGTTTAGTTTCACACAATATTTTTGTCCTTACTGTTTGTCACTCAAACTAAAATACTGTGATTATGTTATGTTTACCACGAAGAAAGTTGGTAACCATTTTGTTTGGATGGTCTTGCCATGCTTGATCATGGGTGTAAACATGTGCTCTAAATACAGACTGGCAAACATAATAATGCATTTTTTACCATGCTTTGAGTAAGTTTATAATGTAACTAGACTTGAAAATTTTAATCAGGATGCTTAAAGGTGCACTTTTCAAAACCTAAATTGTATCTCCTTAAGGCTTAGCAATGTAAATATAACATTATGTTGCCATTTTTATGGAGATTGCAAAATAGCAAGTCGAGGTTCAAAATTGCAGGGCACATCTATGTGGTATACCCAGATGAATTTTTTGGGGTTAAAAAGAAATTACTGCAGATATCCAGCAATTCTGTACTCTGAATACAAGACTAATGTCACTGATAAATGTTACTTCAAAAGATGCTCACAAAAGTGTGGCAAAAAATAAGGTTAATGAAGTATGTGCTCTTGTAGACATAAATAATTAGCTGACATGAATTTACAGGAAGCACTATGTTTTTGACTTCAATTTATAAATAGTGCACAGTCTACAAAGATATTTACACTATAGCGTGCAGTCTTACACAAATACTATCATCATCACAGTTTTAATGATTCACTAAAACATAATTTCATGCTAAATAATGTAAAGCTATTCATGTTTTTGTTCAGCAAATAATAATGTAATGAGTTGTGTGTTCCAAATGAGTACTTTAAATTTAGGTTATAATTGTGCTAGTTTTGATTGTTGGAATATATTTCATTCCGATTAGATTTGCCCCAAAAACGTCATGTAATGGTATTTTGTACTTTATTAGTTTAAAAGCAATATCTATAATAAATGACATCAACTGCAAATAAACTAAAGTTAAAACAGTGGTCATTGGCTAAACACTAGAGCTCACTGGCTTTTTGCCAGTTAGTCATTGCTTATTTTTTCATAATTTTGTAGCCGTGGCATAGCGGCTCATAGAATGGCTCCAAGTTTGTTTGTTTTGTTCAAGTACAAACTTTTACCGCATAGCTCCATCATCTCTTGACTGATTTCAGATATAGTTACAGCCACTGCTGTTGAGGATTCCCCTCTTGTTAGTAATAAATTTGCAACACGTGCAAGTTTTATTTTACATTTCCCACAAGCATGATTGAATCTTGTGCCTCTTACAAGCCAGATAGTGCTCTATGAACTGAATTCAAGGATTAATCCTGTAGCTGTTGCTAACAAGACACTTTTCAATGAATCAAATTGTCACACACAGTGATTTAAACCTGAATTTGGGTAAGATATACTTCATAATTTTAAATTGTTTATAAACAAAAAATTAAATTTTAAAATGTTTTTTTTAATCTATATTTTTTAATAAATTATTTTTATGTGAAAACTTAAACAACATGGTGATAATGAAGACTTGAAAAGAGAAACTGGTTCAAATGCTGCATTTTCTTTAAGTTACATGAAAAAACAATCACCAGAACCATACTTTAACTGTTCATTTGGTAACACAGAAGAGCCTTACCTCAAAATTCAGCCTTGCTGCTGATTCAAGGAAAGATGAAGGGTGTTTATTCAAGTTGAACCACAAATTTGGAGAGATAAAAGCCACATTGTTCCTTATATCAAATTTTGGAAAGTCTGTGCTTTCTTCATCAGTATTTATGGAGAACACTCTCACCAGTCTTATTTTCTCTGCTGGAGTTCTTATTTCTGATTCAACGTCAATTGGAATGTTACTTGCCTTTTCAGTAGTTCTTGAATAATTTGTACAATCTTCTTTCAGTGCTGTATCTTCTATTAACCAACTTTTTCTCTTTGCCTGTTTATCTTTATAAATACACATGCTTATTTTAACCCAGCTTCCATTTACAATTTTAAGTTCCTTAAGAGAGACATCAGACACTATAATTACATTCATAGGATCAATGAAAGAAAGTTCCTTTTTTGTTAGAAGATACATCTTGGGAAGCTGGGGTAACATCTTCACACGAAATATTCTTTTGTTAGAATGACGGAGTAAGTTTTTGTGAACTGCTACTGAGAAAGGATTAACAGATCCCAGAAGTAATCCATAAGGCAATAAACTGTTACAGTAATTGAAGACATGAAGCATTGTATTAAAACTGTTGGCAGGTTCTTGGAGTTTTTTTACAATTCTACAGTCATCTGGCTTAAATTTAGTTACCACAACTGTTGTATTTATGGTCAGAATACCTTGGGCCACTGGTTGACACTCAACAGCAATTAGGTCAAGTAGTTTAGAAATACTATGTTGGCCTTCAATACCAAATGACTTTGGTGATGCTAACAAAACATCACCAGAACGACAAAGCACTTTTTTAGGGTTACATACTGAAAGTGACAGTTTATCACACCAATCGTCTTGTGTTGCCCAATTATAACACTCATCAGTTTTTGCTAAAAACACTACTTTCTCAAGAGGAAGACAGTATACAGGCTTAAAATAAAACTTTTGTGACAGATTCAAACCATAATGCTTCACAAAAAGATCTGTCACATACAACTTCACAACTGGATTACCTTCAGAAAATAGACAAGTACTGGCAACATCCCCATCATAGTTGTTTGGAACATCTTCTGTTGTTTCTTTAATAATAAAAACATTAACGAACTGAGTTAGCTTATTGAACATTCTAATTTCATTGTTGCAGTACCCTGTTTCTAAAATTCTGCTATGTATCAATGTTCCAACAAATGTTTCCCACTCAAGATCAAAATGTTGTGTTCCAGACTCAAAGTCAAACCCAGGTCTCAGTTTCAAAATATCAGATAAGTTAATACCAACAAAAAGTGGATGTTGTGGTAACCAAAACTTCTTGGTACTCACTTCATGAAAAATTACTTTTAACGGCTGAATGTTTGCCATATCTAACCTTTCATATGCGTATTGAACGTATTAGACTCCCTGATCAATAGGTCTAACACTGCCACTGTGTTACTACTGCTAGTACATTCGTCAGGTATTTTAACTTACTCAGTTTAGACATTTAACCACAATATTTATTATCATGCAAAAGTAAATTAGAACTGAACGCATAACTTCTCATAATAATTTCACTTAGGCCAAATTCAACAAGTTAAGTTCCGTTAAGCCTGTACTACCATATAACATTTAGTCCAAATCTTAACTCTTTCAGTTTAAATATTGTGCGCATGCGTTGTATCTTAATGAGACTAAAGTAAATGTTCAGCTTCCAGGCCTACATTCAACAACTATAACCCGAAGCTTTATGTGGGTCTAACGAAAAATGCAAGTCGATGATTAATTCATTTTTGTTCTATGGACTTTTAAAATTAAGAAGAGCAGAGTAGAATAAGCATTTGTGGTGCCAAGTAAAATTGCTTTTGGCAATTCACGAATTTAACAAATACACTGTTGGGCTACCATCGAACAATAATTTGTACAATTCAAGATACCAGGCAAAAAGAAAAATGGCTCGTTACAAAACCTACTTTAAATTGTGTAGCAAGGCTTATAGTTATATCGATATTCTCATATTCACTTTCTCGTTCTACCAGTTAATGGGTTATGATTAATTATCATTTGTATTATTTTCCTTCTGTTCATTCAAAAAATGCTGAATATGAAAAGCAAAGAAAGTGCAATTAAACAAGAGTTTGGAAGGATGGATAAATATACTATAACGTTAATCTATTTAAATAAAGCCATCTCACCATCACTTTAACGATAATTCTATAAGAGTAAGTCTAAAGGGCTCGGTATGACCAGGTGGTTAGGGCACTCGACTCGCAATCTGCGGGTCGCGGGTTCGAATCCCCGTCGATCGTTATAATTTTACTGTCAATCCCACTATTCGTTAGTAAAATAGTAGCCCAAGAGTTGGCGGTAGGTGGTGATAACTAGTTGCCTTCCCTCTTGTCTTACACTGCTAAATTAGGGACGGCTATCGCAGATATCCCTCGTGTATCTTTGAACGAAATTTAAACCAATTCTAACCTAATATATTTCCTCGTGTTTAAAAGATTTATTCGCTGTTCTCTTTTTGAAGCAAGAATTTCATCAGCTAGAAATGTAAATTAATAGATCAAACTATATTTTTTAGAATTATGAACTATTAACCTTCTAAAATAGTTTAATATTTTACGATATATCATCTGACCTGAATAGCACTTGGGCCTGGCATAATAAACAAATTAAGTCTAAAGATTTTAGGAATATATACATGTTACGTCTCCGTTCGTTAGTTAATTTTCCGTAAATTCGTTCCGACGAAACTTTAGCGACAC